TTGAAATTCATGACAGCATGACATTGTCCTTTCTTTCTTTACCATCCTAATCTAAATCATTTTTAATTATCTGGAGGTTTATCTAAGTTGCATATCACAATTCTCAAGTGCAAGGTTCTAAGTTTGATCCCTGATTCAAAAAAGAGTGAAATAATAGATGAAGGGTACAAATAATCACTAACCTTGTACAAAAAATTTAAGTATTCCATGTAGTGCAGACAAAGGTAATATCAACGATAAGATCAATTTTTTCTGGATGCAAAGAAATAATTCTATCACAGCAGCTGAGTGAAAAGAATCCCAGTGAGCCTGTGTTTTTCTCTGTAAGCAAGACAGTCCTTCTTTCTAAACAAGGAGGGCTCAGTGATCTATGAGGAGATAGAGCAGTTACCAAGGGCAGAGATACAGTATTTTGGTTTGAGAGATATGAGTGAACTCAAGATGTGGACATGTCATAGACCGGGGTGGTGAACCATGTGAAGCAGACTACAGCAGGCTGATGCTATCACTGAAAGCTCTGAATGGTTTGCATTTGGTATCATAGATCCATGGAGGTGGATTGAAAGCAATCATATATTTCAGAAGATGCTACAAGGAATTATGTAACCAAGATCCCCATGGCTTAGTGGATACATTTGTGCCATTCTACACATCATGAACCCTCAGAAACCATCAGACTCAATTTAAGAGCTGAGCTGTGACTGGAGCCAGACAGAGGTACCTCTGCGTCTGACATATGAAAACTGAGCTCAGTGCTCTTCATTATATGTTATTGCATGCTATTATTTGTATGTTATTCTGTAATATTTCTAGTTGGACTGGCTTTCAAAAATGTGGTAGAAGATGAATCGAGTGATTTGAGGATGGAGTTATACTTTGTGGAGTTTTGCCTATGAGGTAAAGAGAACGGGCCTGCAATCTAAGCAGAACAAGCTATTTATATAGACTTTAAAGCATTTCAACAGAAATTTATATCCCTTATATATAAGGATGTCTGATGGTGCTGTTGACTTCATAGCACCCTTTGATGTGACCACTGAGAAGGAGCAGATTTGAAAATCTAAAGGGATCTCATCACTTAGTTGTAGGATCAAAGTGGGAACCACAATCAAGATGAGAGGAGACTCCTGTACACTTATGAGGATTTTTATCATGAAGCTTTTTCAAAAGTGGATGAAGATTAAATCTATGTCTATTAAAGTGATATGATTCACATTTTTCCCAAGCAGAGAAAAGAAAGGAAGAATACATGTGAGGATATGAAAGTTGAGAAAAATAAAACCATTTTCAGTGTGCCCTAAGACAAATCTTAGAAGGGAAAATAAATGAATTTCAAATACAGCTGTGCACAATCTTGTTCAGCTGTATGGGGGAAATTAGGAAAGATTTCAAGGTCAATGGGCAAACTCTGCTCTCTACCTCAGCTAGTATAATTGAAGAAGATCAATAACTACTCAATACAAATGTCTAAGCAGGGCAATCCTTGGTTGTGTGTGAAATGCTTGGTCTGTGAGATTACAGAGACAAGTGCTTGAGAAAATGCAGCATTAATTTTCAAAACTTACTGTTTCCAACATGGTATTGGCTGATCCCTCATCATCACCTGCCACAATCACATCCTCTGTCCTCCTATTTCTGCACACCTCCATCAAGAAGGCCACTGACAAGCGGTGTCCCCCTTCCTCTGCACAGGACTTGAGTTTTACTCCCAAAAGTTTCTTTGGAATCACACCCAAATTTATCTACAATATCAGAAAGATTCACAGTGCATTTAAACTCAAAAGTAAAGTATATCTAGAGATAGGTATAGATACATCTCACTAAATCATGAAACTAAAAATTGCCTTAAAAATTAAGACCTATTGAATGTGGGCCATAAGAGAAAATACTGAAAAAGAAAACCATACTAAAATTAAAAACTTCTGCTCATATATTAAATGTCATAAGATTCATAAAAAAGAGACAGACAGTCTTAAATAATAAATTGGGAATCCAGATTTTATAGTACAGTACTGTAAACTCAACATTTAGAGATGCTGATTCAGGAGACTTATGATTAGGAGAAAAGAATGGGCAATTTAACAACAGAATAAGCCACTTCTGAAAATTTAAAAAAAGAGAGAGAGAGAAACGTAGGCACGGTCTTGCAATTCAGTTCAAATGCCCTCATTTTAATGCCAATGTCATAAAATGAGAGACAACAAATTTATTTGCATAATACAAATGCAAAGGGTTGCTATACCAAATACATAATTATCATTTACAAACAAAAATATGAACATTTGGATAAATACAAGATGAACACATATTTCTCCACAGAGGAAATTAAAAGACCCCACTGAGGTATGTATTTATTTAAGTGAGGTATGACAAGGATATGTATTTATTAGAAAAGTTCAATCTGTTATGTGTTTGAGATATATGAAGCAGAGGTGAACAGAAGCAATCAAAATAAATAAATGCACTACACCTGACTCAGAGGTCAGGAGCAACAACCTTGTGTTCCTCTGTGCCTACATTGTCTTTAAGGACATGCACCCCTGGGTCAGAAATAGCAGTAACATTTCTGTTCTAATGAGGAGCACTGAATATTGTATCCCCCTCTGGGATATAGAGACCGTAGAAGTCAGCCAGGGAAACACCCACTCAAACGCCCTGCCCAGTCAGTAACAGCTGCTGGTCCATTCAGATATGGTCCTTCTTCATAAAGAACACATTGGCTCAGTAGAAGATTCTGTCCTTTCTGAGACCAGATCGTCTGTCTTCCACATCCAGGTGAGATGCTGAACATCATTCTCACTGAAGCAGCCAGGCAACCCTAAGTTCCTTTTTCATGATTTGATCATGACTGTTTCTCCCAGGGGCAGCTGT